AGTGTCTACTTGTTTCAAGTGAAGTTAATAAACATCTAAAAGAAAATGAAAAGAAGTTTAGTTATTATAAACGTATATAGGGTTATAAAACTTGTTAAATACTCTTTATTCATTATGCCACTTTGAAATACTTTCGACTTCATTATCGGAGAATTTATTCCGATTATCATACTATTTTCCTATGCATAAAACTGGATAAGTTAATTAATTCGCTTAGAAAGAGAGAAAGTAAAAATGTTTGAATTTATATTTACATTTAAGGTTTTCGATAACAATAGATTTACATGATTTATTGTAAAACTTATATTTGTAATTTAAAATTTAAAAGGTATATTGTAATATAAAATTAAACTCGCATTAGATATACATATAATTATTTGCACGTTCACTCATCCTGTATATAATTAAAATCTTACTTAATATTATTATTTTATAAGATATTTTTATTGTATAAATACGCGTAAAGTTAATATAATGGTGACAGTTCCATTTTATACAAGATGAGACACTATAAAGCTCAAGTAAACGTGTTTAAAATGAAATTGACAAATCTCAAATATTTGTAATAGGCCATATAATTACTATAATTCTTAAATATATAAATATCAGTAAGAATAATTATGTAAAATCTAGGCCTACAATTTAACGATAATTAGGCCTATAAATTTTAATTAATTTTAATCTTCTTGAAATCTTAATAATATTTAAGACGTTCCTACAAAAATTGTCAAATACGTACGCCTATTAAAGTTTTATTGGCTTATATTAAGTAATAATAAATGCTATTTAATAAATTATTATTTTTTAAGATTAACTTATGATTATGGATTTTTAATTTATAAGTACCTTTTTTAAATTATCCCATTATATAAAAAGAACAAGAAACTTTTATTAAACATAATAATAATAATTCATTTACTAATCATAATTATTGACTTAATACAGCAATATTAGTATGGATTTAGCTTGTAATCTATTGTTAATTATTATAGGCTTTATCATGTATTGAAGAATTTTAATAGAATTTAATACATTATCATTAACAACAGGAATGCGAAGTTATATTTTTTGATTGAAACTTTATAAAATATTTCGCTGTAATGATATAAATCTTATGTTAAAAGCATTAGATCAATCTAAAATGATTTGTTAGTAAACATTTAAATATCATTTTAACATATTTAAGAGTCTTTGTCTATAAATAAGCTGAAAAATATAGTAAATGTACCGTACAGGGTGATCCAAAATCTATTTATTAAGTTTGATGCGTTATTACAACGGAACAATGAAATATAAAACTTTTATTTAAACGTTATTCAAATCAACATTTGAAGACGTAGCGTCCGAAATTTCAATCTCGCCTTCTTCAATCTTACCCAATGTTTGACATTACACTTTGAAGAATGTCTCTCGGAATATTCATTGAATATGAAATCTCTCGAAGGTTTTATATTCAATAGATGACTGGAGTTCCTCGATGTTTTTGAATTAGTTTGGTAAGCTCTAGCTTCGAAATATCTTTCAGAAAAGAACTCTCAGAAATTCAGATCTAGAAAACTTGCAGGCCTATCAATTTCCTCTCATGATCGTTGAAGTTAAAGGAAACACATCATAATATAAATAGCTTTATATTAAATGATATTCGAGTAAATAATGTACTGAAAAACTTTATAGAATATAATATAACTACATGTTAATATGTTATATTGTTTTAATTTCAAATGATAATTCTATAAATGTTAAACATTGACTAGACATAAAATTATATACTCTAAATAAATTTATTTTTGATATAATTTTAATCAATGTATTAAAATAAAGAAAATAAATTTACTTATATAATTTTATGAATAACAATTTTAACAATGATAGTTATTATTCGTAAAATTATATCTCCTGTTACAAATTTAGTTATAAATGACAAAAATTAAAGTAAAAGAAACGATATTTAAGTAAAATTTTTAAAAAATTTTATTTGAGAATACTGTAAATCAAAAAAGATATAGACTATATTAATCGTTTTATTCAAAATACTTTACAGGAAAAGTTTTATTTATTTGTAAATTATTTATATGATTAAAATTTAAAATTTTATTTTATTTATTAAGCAATTACTTCAAATTAAAATATATATTCCTACTCAAAATATTTAAATTGTTTTATTCAAAAAATATATTTGTATTAAATTTATCAAAATAATATTTTAAATATGAAAATAATAATCTAAGTGTTTTCAAAATATGAAATCGAAATATTGTGTGAAAAACATTTATTTTAAAAAATAAATATAAGAATTTTTAGAATGTACTTTAACACTTTTCACTTGATTTTATTTATTTTTGTTTCATTCAAATTATCTGTAATTACGTATTAATCAAATAATTTTATACTGTATATAAAATTATTCTATGAATATCAAAAAAATTAAATCGTACGATAAATAATTTTATTAAAAACTCAAAAGAGAAGGTGAGAATATTTTTAAAGTTATTATAGATTTATTTTTATATACAATTTGTAAAATGTAAAAATCAAATTCACCTTAATTCCAAAAACTAATCACATATAAAGTGATTATTATAATATCAAAAACGCTTTGTAACAATTTAATTTTTAATTTTTCTACATATTATTTTACATAAAAATATCTCTATGGTTAATTCCTATTTACATAATGCTTTATCTCCTTTATACAGTTTAAATAAATATTTTAATACATTTTAATACGTAAAAAAATAATAATTTATGTATACTGTTAGTTTGCTTTAAAGCAATATTTTAAAACCACGAAAATTCTTAATTATTTCAGTTATTATTTATTATTCACTATTAAACATTTTATACATTGTTAAAACCTTAATATACACATTTCTTTAAAGAATAAAATTTGTTATATTTAAATTTTATTGGATTATTTTAATAGGGATTCAAAAACAATAACAAATTTAATGTCATTATTCCATTAAATTTAAATACTACATTGTTAAGAGTTAATTTTTATTATAAGCATAAAATAGACTTAATTAACTATTAATTTACGTGTATATTTTATAATAAGCATTATCAATTTATACTTAAAAATGAAATCTTTAAGAGTCAACAATATGAAGTAGGAAATCATTTCTCATTATTTCTATAACAGCATTATGAATTTATAAATGTTAAATGTAACATTTCTATAAAAATATTTTAATAATCTTATAAAATTGTCTAATTATAGACATTATGCCATCATCTAAGTGACATTTCTAACTTGAACTTAACTATTTTAAATTAGTTATCTGATCATTGTTCTTGTAAAGTTCACTTTTAAACGGTACGATTTAATGTAGTAATTGATATTTCTTATTATAATTTCTAATTTAAATACCAGGCGTTAAATTACTATTTTTTGTTTTTATTTTGCAAATTTATAAAGCGTTTAGTTTGTAACGTTAGAACGGCAATAAACAAAATATTACTAGAAACTTTTAAACATAGATTTTTATTATTAATGCCCGTTTCCTCAATTATTCCTCCTTAAGAAATTAGTTAAGATAAAGCGTGTTTTTCACAGATTAATTTGATAAAATGTATTTTGTTAGAATGTATAATATAGAAAGTTTTATTTACATTATAACGACTATTAAAATGTAAGTTATATTGTAGTTAGAGATAAAATTAAGATAAGTGTTGGTCGGAAATCCTGTTAGAATATCATCATAGCTTTAATGAAAGATAAAAAAATATGTAAATATAATGCACAAATAGTTGAATTTTGGAATTTCTAACATTATCTCTAACAATCAAAATGCTTATTGCTAGCATTGATAAAAGTCTAATTTAAGCAGTTTCGCTGCACTGGAACCACGTCCGAAAATTTTGCATTCCCTGTAGTGATGATCATACCGCAGGCCGACTATACTCATTAACATACTAGATATCTGGTTTCAGCTGGTACTATGTCATTCTGTAGACAGCTGAACTAAATTATCACTGCTCAGCATGTATGATTGCAGAATTAGAATTAGATTTCTGTGGTGTTGTCTGATTGTATAACGATTATCTCCCAGCTCGATCTTTCAACCACAGACAAACCAACCACTTCGTCTTCGTCAGACTATCTTTTAACTTTTCTTCGATTCGATTGTCATTGTGCAACTTCACGCCAAACTATTTTGGTAATTTAGAGCTTAAGAAAGGTCAGCTGTCTTATTCTCTTGGGATTGTTAGACATAAATTAAGCTAATGTGCAAAAGTTGATACTCTTCATAAATATTATTACACTTAAACCATCATTGGAGATTATTTATGTGACTAAAGTGTAACATCTGAACTTTAAATTTAACACATATCAGCGGCTTGAACTTGTTTATTTATTTAATAATTCTCATGTGACGTTTCTCATTTAAATCATTAATATTTCTTATTATCCCTGTCTGAATGGAGTACAATTCATTAACTACGTTTAAGATAAAGCTGTAGATGTGCAGATATCACTTTCAATTTTGAAATTTAATTTTATTTATTTTTGCTTGGTCAAATGATAAAAAGATAAATAAAAGTTGCTTGTTTATCTGTTTATCAGATGATTATTATTGGAATAAATAGACAAATCCTCTTCTTTTTTCAAATATAAAAAATGATGGATACAGGATAACTCTAAGCCTAACTCTTGGAGGTAAATTAGTGTATTACCATTTCAAAGATGAACCGGTCTGTGGTACCACGACTGCTTCTGCCATCCATCGATCATAGACTGCTCCTTCGGCCTCAAGAGGGACAACAGAGAAGGTAGTTGAACCCCAACCGCTGTCTAACTGTGGGAGGGGTGAGCCATTTTGTTAACCCCCACTCAATTTGTTTTCTCTTCATTTAGAAATATAATATTGTTTCCATATCTCTAAAATCACCAACAAGTTAAATCTATATTTTCTTAAAATCTGAAACTAACTAATCGACGACAGCAGCACGACACACACAATTGATTTATTGTTCTGATAACAGTTAATTGTCTAACTGTGTGACAAGTATGCTGACTAATTGTTCGGATGATTGACAAATCTTATTGCAAATCAGATAGAATATTGGTAATTATTTTAATTTATTTTAATAATTAATTTGTGAATTCTATTAGTTATTCACAATGTAATATAAACTGCCTATTAATAAATATATAGAGAACTCGTAAGATAAAAAGAGACTTAGACTATTGTTGAAACTGAATAACATTAATTTCCATTAGAAAAATTTTTTTATATTTTATTTTCTCTTTAAAAACGTTTTATATGCTGTAAATTTGTTACAAAAATTATTTCGAATTTTAAAAATATAACGTAAAAATGATATGTTTTTACAAGAAACTCATCTAGAATTTAAATGGCAGAATTAATCTGTAATTATAAACAGACTTTTATTTTTATAATTTTGTAACGGATCTAAACTCGATCTTGTCAAATGCAAAAAACTTTTCTATTGAAAAAACTATCCAATGTATTTATATAAATCACGAGAGAAGAAAAAAGTCTGATACTTTTTATAATTTTAGAAATGAATTTACAAAATAAAATTAATGAATTTTTAATGTGGCATTAATTTATATTTTAGAAGAGTTAAAAAATCATAAAAAATAAAACTTTTTACAGATCTAATCTTAAAATTTTAATAAATAATTTTAGCTCTTGGAGATTTTTTGCACTTTATCTTACAGTATGAAAAAATAAAATCGTATTATCAAATGTAATTTATTTAAAAAAATTTAAATCTACATATAATTTTTTAAATGTAGATATTTTTTGTAATGTATAAATAAATTAATGATATTTTTAAATATTATTATTAAATATATTCTAAATCTGTTAAATTCTGTATCTAAGTATATACATCTATAAAGAAATTGGTTTCGACTAAATTTCATTAATTGTAAAATATATTCATGATGTGACTTGAAAGTAATTAAAATAGCCTTTAAACTGAACTTACCTTAGTTTTGGAAGTTTTTGAACGAGAACCAATTCTGTATCTAAGTATATACATCTATAAAGAAATTGGTTTCGACTAAATTTCATTAATTGTAAAATATATTCATGATGTGACTTGAAAGTAATTAAAATAGCCTTTAAACTGAACTTACCTTAGTTTTGGAAGTTTTTGAACGAGAACCAATGATTTCGACTGCATAAATTTCAAGTTCAAATACGTCAAATTGTCCTTCACTTTCCAATACTTGAGTGGTAGAGACGATCCCTGTTCGGCGATCAACATTAAAGATTTTTCTATAACTTAACCCTTTGACATTTATTGAAGTCAAATAATAATTAACAGAAATATGATTGCCTTGAGCCTTTACCGCTAAAACACTAGTACCAATTGGTTGGTTTTCGTATACAGAACCGGAAAATTCAGATGCACTAAATACGGGTCCACTTTGCCTTTTAAGAACTCCCAAAATCGTAAGTTTTAATCTAGAAGATTTCATAAACGGTCTCGGCCCATTATCGGTCGCTCTAACTGTTAAATTGTAGATCGGAAGTGGCTTGGAAACCCTACGAGAGAGAGTTAATATTCCAGTAGATGGCTCTAAAGAAAAAAGGTCCGATTGTGATTCTTCCAAATGATAAGTTACCGTTCCGTTCATTTCGTTGTCCGGATCTTGTGCAGATAAAGTCATAATAACATCTCCCTGACTGGACCCTTCCAATAAGATGCCCGTGTCGATTGACACAAAAGTGGGTGCGTTGTCATTTATGTCATCAACAATTATGGTAATTGTTTTTTCAGTTGTTAATCTACTGATAGCTGGTTCAGCCAAATCAGTACATACCACGGTTAAAGTGTACGAATCGGTCTCTTCTCTGTCTAGCGATCGAGTAGTATAGATCATACCCGTTTCTGGATTAATCCCGAAATGATTTTTGCAAGGCCAACATTTACTTATGTTATACTTCACCTGTCCATTGATATCAGCATCCGCATCCTCCGCGCTTATTAAAGCAATTTTAGTATTAGGTTCCGTATTTTCTGTCACTCTATATATTACATCCGTATTTGAAAATACGGGAGGATTATCATTCACATCAGTCACAATTACAAAAATTGTTATACTTGTACTTAAGGTAGGAATTCCGTTATCACTAGCAGTTATAGATAGATGATATTTTTCGTTTTCTTCTCGATCTAAATTATGAGATAAATACAGATTTCCTGTCATTGGATTGAGTTTAAAGACATCTCTATAATTAGAGGAAGATAAAGAATAAGTAATATCATGATTTAAATCCTTATCTATTGCTAGAAAAGTGGCAATAATGCTACCGACCGACATGTCTTCACGAACGGTTACTTCCTTTGTGTTATTTATAAATTCTGGATAATTATCATTTTCGTCTAATACCGAGATGCTAACAGTCCCAGTTGAAGTGTACCTGTGATCAGTTCCATTATCAATGGCTAAAATTGTTAGTGAATAAAAGTTTTCCATTTCTCTGTCCAATTCTTCATTAAGAATAATCTGTCCACTGTGCTGATCAATACTGAATTTAGTCTGTGGAATAGTGTTTGAAATTGAATAGGTTACTTCCCCATTATTGTATTCGTCAGCATCTAAAGCATTTATTTTGATTATTTGTGTACCCTGTGGCGTAGTTTCTGACAGTTGAATTCTGTAGGGATTTCTTGCAAATATTGGAGCGTTATCATTTACGTCAGTGATATAAACACAGACTTTAGCTATATCTTTCAAATTTCCTTTATCTTGAACTACTACTTCCATTAAAATAAAATCGTGACCAGTCGATTCTATCATTTCTTCCCTGTCAAACGATTTTGATGTCCTTAAGAGTCCCGTTTTGGGATCTATAACAAAATCATTTTGATTTGTAGAAATTGAGTAAATTAAATCGCCATGTTCTTCAATATCCAAATCATAAGCAATTAATCTTCCAATTACAGTATCGGGAGGTAAATTTTCTTTTACGTAATATACTAAACTACTGTTTTTAAATTTAGGAGGATTATCATTATCATCTTCGATACTCAAAACGACAGAAACTTGAGAGCTCCTGGGTGGTATCCCATGATCTTTGACTATTACTACAAATTCATAATAGTCTCTTATCTCCCGGTCCAAACTTTCTTTCAGATATATATTTCCATCGGGAAAGACTCCAAATTTTTCTTGTTCAGTCGTAAAATAAATGATACGTCCGTTGTCATACAGATCGTCATCGATAGCAGATAAACGAAAAATTTTTGTATTAACTTTTGTCCTTTCAGATAAGCTTAATTCGTAAGATCTTTGAACGAAATGAGGTACGTGATTGTTAACATCTTTTATCTTAACAGTTAAATGATGGCTTGCACCCAAAGATAACGTCCCTGAATCTCTAGCAATAATTGCTACATCGTAAACAGTATCAACTTCATTCATTAAAGTTATGTTTACCACAACAACTCCGGTAACATTATTAATAGCAAAAACATTTCGAGGATTCGAAGTTAAAGAATAAGTGATCGTCCCGTTTTCTCCATTATCTGGATCTTTGGCTTCGGCAATATACACAATATGACCAATTGGAGAATCTTCTCCAATTTGAATGTTTCTCACTAAAGACACAAAAGTAGGATGATTATCATTTATATCAGTAATTGTTATATTGACATTAGTTGTGATGTATTCATCTCCAACGCAAGCAATAATAATTAAAGTAAAGAAAGAAAAAATTTCTCGATCAATTGATTTCGCCGTTTCTAAGATTCCGGTTTCTTTTTCCAGTTGAAACCAATTTTCTGTATTGCCTGATGTAATATAATATAAAACTGATGAATGACTTCCAACTAAACTAACTTTTCCTACTTCTCTTTTGACTAGAAAATTTTCTTGTTTCTGATCTTCTTCTAATTGAAAATGATATCCCAACTTTTGAGTAAATTCCAAACTTGTATTTTGTTTATCAGTTTTTATATATAATAACAATGTTGCAATATCTGGTTTTTCTGGATTCTGCACATCTTTGGCTAAAATTTTAAATATCTGACTTTTACGTTTAAAGTTATATAAATTTTTGGTGGTTCTGATTATTCCTGTCGTTTTTTCAACTTTAATGATATTATCATTTTCATCGTCAAGCGAATATATTATAGTCGATTCCAAATCTCTGTCTATTGCGGATACTTTGCCTATTTCCGTACCAACAGGAACGTTAGAATTTGCAGAAAAAACATAAAATCGCTGAAGAAAATAAGGATAATTGTCATTTGCATCTAAAATTTGAAGATGAATAGTTACTGTAGATGATAAAGAAGGTTTTCCTCCATCTTTTGCAACAATTCTGATATCGTAATTAGATAAACGTTCTCTATCGAAACTTATAATGGTGGATAAATTGCCTCTTTTACGATCTAAAGAAAATGTTTGCGGATACATTAGATCTACTGTAAGATCCAAATGATATGACACCGTTCCATTTGCTCCTAGGTCATTATCACTTGCACTAACAACCATTATCTGATCAGGAGGAGTGTTTTCTCTCAGAGATATTTCTATATTTTCACGAGCAAACGTTGGAACATTATCATTCTCATCCAATAAATAAACACGCAAATAACTGTACGTCCATCGTGGATTTGATCCACTGTCTCTTGCAGCAATTTTTAATTGAACCATATCGGTTATTTCCCTGTCTAACCGTTTCTTTGTTGTGATCAATCCTGTATTACTATTAATGGCAAACCATTTTTGGTCATCGCCAGAAATAATAGAATAATGCAATCTGGAATTTATTCCGGTATCCATATCCGTAGCTCGAACACTTGACACATAAGATCCAATGGGTGCAGTTTCATCCATTTCAGCTATATAAATATCGGTTTCAAAAACTGGCTCATGATCGTTGACATCGTTTATCTGTATCACTAAGTAAGCAGTTGATGTCCGAGAAGGAACACCTTTATCACTGGCTGTAATAGTAAGGTTATAATAACTAAATTTTTCTCTATCTAAAACATCATTTACACGAACAATTACAAAATTAGAAGTTGTTTCCAATCGATAGTGTCCTAGACTGTTTCCATCACTAATATTAACCGTTGTCTCTCCATTTTTTCCTTCGTCTAAGTCAATAACACTGATTGCTGCTACTAAAGAACCATTTTGGGCATTTTCGTCCACTGAAGCATAACTAGCCGAAGACGGGAAGTAACGAAGAGTAATAATTGGATCGTGATCGTTGGCATCGACAAGATTCACGGAAACATACGCTCTTCCATCTTGACTGGGTGTTCCGTGATCTCTGGCAATGACGGCAAATACACAACTCCTAGAGCATCTCTCATTTTCCGGACAATTCTGCTTACAATGAAGATAATCATTAGTGGTAATAACACCTGTTTGTTCATCGATGGCAAATTCAGTTTCGTCATTAGCGAGAAAATATGATATTTTAGAATTATCTGATACGTCGATATCCGTTGCCCTGACCTGAAGAATACTCGTTCCAGGAGGAGTACTTTCATTAACATTAACCGAATAATCACTATGATCAAATATCGGAGGATTATCATTTACATCCAATATATTTATATTTACTTGAAGATATCCATACCTGGCTGGAACACCTCCATCTTTGGCAGATACATTTAAAACATAAAAAGATTTAACTTCCCTATCGAGTCTTCCCGTCGTTTCTAAATGAAGATAAGGAGTTTCTCCACTAGGATTGGTTGTCACCAAGAGACGAAACATTTCGTCTTCATTGCCGGATACTATTCTGTAGTCGGTAGTAACATCATTGACACCAATGTCCTTATCGGTGGCAGTGTCTAGAATTAATCTAGTACCGATATTAGAATTTTCAGCGAATGCAATATCGATACTGAGTTCTGGAAAAACCGGCGAGTTATCGTTTATATCCAAAACGATAATTCTTACTTCGATCGGATAAGTTGGCTGACTGCTTAAAACTACCAAGTCGAACCTGTCGCTGGATAGACCCTCCCTGTCTAGAACGACGGCCGTTGTCACTTGGCCGGTGCTACCATTCAGCCTGAATTCTGCAGGATTCTCGTTGAAGCGATAAGTGAAATTGCGCTTGACTGGAATTGTTCCAATTAATATTCCCGCTTTTTCTTCTTCTCGTACTTCGAACTGGACTCTCATTTCTGCATCGTACGCTATACCATTGGCCATACTCCAAATTACAATCGAAATAAGTAAAATAGTCGGTTGCCATCTTTTCTGACGTTTCTTCCAAGCTACGAAACGCGTCATGATGACCTCTGACCTGTTCGACACAGCATGACACCAAAAACGTCTATCTCTAGTCTGTCCGACTGGGCCATTTAGAGCGTTTGAAGTGACGACAGAAAAAGGGTTGGATAGACAGTCGCTTAAGACAACGTGTAGCCCTGCCCAGTCGTCTCTTCCCCTTTGCTTCACTCCATCCTCTCTCTTCATCCAACCAATTAGAAGCAACCTGGCTAGCGTTCCTGTCATATCGCGCCTCTTTCTCGTGAAACAGGTGTTCCTAGTTCTAAATGCCGATGCATTTTTTGCCACATGCGAATTTTGCCGTTTGTATCCATCATTCGAAATGACACCGCCATACTTCGGGACAGAATAATAATCGTAAACATTCTATCAAACAAGATTAATGGCAAATTATTGCCTTTAACACTGTTAATATATCTTTGCTCTCACTGCTATAATTACATCACTAACCTTATATAATTTATGTTACTATTACACTATATAATATATAATGCCCTCTTTTTAATACATCCCCAATTCTTTTTCAATATAGATAATTTGTCTACATTCTCTATGTGAAATAAAGTGGACATTCGTCAAATAATCACAAAATCCCGTTATCGTTAGCAGTCACGTGATTTGTCATATATTAGCTAAATATTTACATCCGTAAATGTTTACTTTTTTTAAACGATTCTTATTATAATTCAAATTCTATGAATTAAAATAATATTTTAAAATATTAATATCGATGCAAAGAATAATTTTGTATTTATAGACTGCCATCTGTCGACAAATAAAAACATTTTTGTAAAATTTAATTTATTTTAAATTTAACTAATACAAATTAGTTTAAAAATTTTAAAAAATCAACTATCTAAATAATATAATAAATCACCAAGTTGAATTAAATGCTGTATATGTATATACAGGATTTTTCATTTTTACCTCTATTTAGTTTACTTTAAAACATTTGATTAAAATTTTAAAGTTAAAAATAATTATTTTAAAAATATAAATTTTTACAGTATTTCATATCAAAATTTTAATAATAAATTAAAAATGTCATTAATAAATAGTGTATTATAGTTCATTAAATATAAAAACGTTGTTATTGCCATCTGGTGACCAAACTTTTAAACATTTTAATATTTAATTTCTGCGGTCAGTACTGTATACTATTAGTTTTCAGAAATAAATTATTTAAAAATTACCTAAAATTGTTTTAAATATATTTTTTTGTGAAATTAAATTATAGAATCCATTAAAAACTTTGAAAATCAAAAATATATATGAATATATGAATATGAAATATATATTCACTAAATTAGAAGGAACAACAAGCAGTCAGCTGGAATTCACCAGAGTTTAACAGGCTGCATTAAGCCAAATTGGTATCTATATTGAAAGAAAATAAAATGTTACAAAATATTTAAAATTATTGTTTTTATAGTAGTTGAGTTTTCAAAAATATGAAATGTTTCATAGCGTAGATTCCCCAATGAAAAAACTAATAAATGTAAAATAGTATTATTTCATTAAAGTTCTCTGTTACTTAAAAAGTTTCTATGACTATGTATAATAACTATGTATAATAATAGTCTATAACTCTTACTTGTTAAATATTTCCGGCGATTCTTCTTTTTAGACAAATAATTAGAATTTTACTAAATTTCTATTTTAATATTTTGCAGTTTTAATTTCTCTGTCCTTTATCTTTCTTGCTCCTCATCATTTCTTCCAACAATGTTTTAGAATATGATGTAAATAATTAATCTTTTGTTGTTTTTTTTTTATCAGCATTGATTTTTTAGTATTTCCTCCTTAGTTAGATTATTATATATTAAACTAACGAGCCAGGCTGCAATTTTTAATCATATTTTTAATTTATTTAACTTAAAATATATGCTCTCCACCTCAAATTAGTAGTGGCTTGCCCCTGTACATCATACTTTTCCTTTAACAATAGAGTCGTGCCGGTCATCTATCTAATACCTTCCAGGGGAAGTTTTCAATTGAAATAATACGTTTTTCGATTTGAATCGGAAGTTTATATGTAGTTAATCGGGACCTACTGTCTCTAAGATTTCCATATCTTATTTCTGATTTTATTTATTTTATTCCGTTCTCGAGATTAAGGAAAGACACGGACGGGCGACAATGGGAATGTATAGGTCTACAACTTTTTTCACATTGCAGTCCAATAAATGTCTTCACATTTTGTTCTCTTTAAAACTTCCGGAATTCAATAGTCTTTACGGCGGAGTCGACCTTTTATTTGAGGATAATCATCCGCCTCGATATGCAAGATATGTTTAAAAATTCCAGTGCGACTGCATAACCATAAAAACAAATAAATAAATAAAGAAAATAGCTAATTTGTGAATATATTTTATATTTCATTATGATACTGTCCATTATTTATTTATTAATTAATATATTTTAAATTAATTATTATGATCGTCCGTCTCATGAAATTTTTAAATGTAATTTGCATATCGAGGCGGATGAGTAGCCTGAAATAAAAGATCGAATCTGCCGTAAGGACTGTTGAGTTCCTAAGATGTTAAAGAGAACAAAATGTGAAGACATTTATAGTTTCTTCCAATTCTGTGAATATATTTTATATTATTTTCATATTTTTTTCGTACATTTATTATAAAGTAAAAATTATTAACGTCGAAATATATTTTAAAACACCGTAAAAATATGATCGCATTTTAATAAAGAAATAAATAAATAGTAATAGTAGTAGAATGATGATGAAAAATTGGCGCATTTTTTAAAATATTTTTTGCAGAAAAGAAATGAAAATCTGTATTTTGAATATAAAAAAGCCCGTGCTGAAAATAGGTCATTCGTGGTGTCAGTCAGTTCAATTTATTTATATTAATAATCAACGTATTATAATTGTACTGTACTATCCTATGATGATGATACGTGTTTAAATTAAAATGTTTGTTAATTTCTCAGTTGTTAATTAATTTAGTTTTGCGCTGCAAATTATACAGTACAGTAGTCCTATTTAATTATTTGTATGATTTTTTATATAAATTTTCCAAATTACATGATGATAATAATTAAATTGTTCGTAAGTTGTTTTGTGTGTTAGTGTTCAATAATTTTTGGGAAAAATTTTTGGTTCCAAAAATATTCTGCATCTCTGGATAATAGAATGTCCTCAATTGTGTCAAATATTGTTTGTGATTTTTAAACGCCAGATTTAAATTATAGTTAATTTATTTGAAAAAAGCTTTACACGCTTCAAAATTTATAGGTTCTTTCTATTAAGAGAAAATCAAAAGATCTGCAAAAACTAATTAGAAATACAGTAGAGCATCGATTATCCGACCCCGATTAACCGTCACCTCGGTTAACCGACCGCGTTCTAGTCGGCAAATTCAAGTGTCCGCTAGTGATGTGGCGCTACAATATTTGGCTATGTCTTAGCTACTTTAATATTATTTTTACATGTTTTAGCTGGCAACACTGGATCGACCATGAAAGGGAGCCAGTATTTAAACGAGGCTTAATTTTCTAATTATGAGTGGTTGTTTGTTTTGTGAGCAATAAAATAATTTTAACGATACAATACCGACGATTATTATTTTTAAAAAATTTTTGTTAGGCTTAACATGGAGGAAAATTCAACGCGAAGTAGGTTAATAGCGATATACTAATATACTAATTACATGGGATATAATAATATACTACACTAATAATGGATTTTTTCATACTTTTCGGTTATTTGACTTTTCGGTTATCCGACTTTTCAATTATCCGACCAACCTCAGTCCCCATTTGAGTCGGATAATCGATGCTCTACTGTATATTTAATTTACGTTCGTTTTTCCACATATATTTAATATAATATAATAAAGCTACGTTGATTTTATTTATTCACTGACTGATATGAAATGTTTAAATAGAAGCAGGTTTTATAGAGAGAAACAGTGGGACGTTGCCAGAAATATATAAAGTCTGAAAAAAGGATTTATGCGCTATGAGAATCAAAATTCAATTCTGAATTCCTCATAGATACCAACCGAGTTCTTGTTATATGGTATTTAAACATTTATATCTATTTATACGCTTTTTATTAACTTGCTCTGTTTGTCTGTCCCTCCAGATAAAGTAACTCAATTTTTACCCACTTCCGAATTTCCGATCTAGTTGAAACTTTACATGCATATGTATTCCCGATAACAATACATTTTTTAAGAGTATGCAAACAATTTTAGCAATTAGCAAAAATATTCAGCAACGAGTTACTTAGCGCCACCCAATGTTGCAGGGAAAGTTATCTGTTACGATATTTTATTAAAAAGAACTTTTTATATTTTTAATTATTATAAAATGGCTAAAAACTTAACCTAACTCTGAGGGTTGGGATTTTTTTTTTTATGTAAATGTTAATAACGAGTTAAATCGTCATTAGTTAGACCTTACTCGAGATATGACACGACCTCCTTTATCACCCCGCCCCTCGACCTTTAATCAGCAAAATTTAATAGCATCAATTCCCTAGTACACAGACCTCTATGCAAAATTCCAGGAAATTGCGACAAAAAGCACAGGAGTTAAGCTTCAAAATGGGTGAACAAAATCGTGCTCGCCCACATACACATTAACCTTTAATATCTATACATTTAGAAAAAATCGGGATTTTTTTTTTTTTTAGTTTTCGATGTTCGTCACGAGATCAAATCCGAATGAACAATCTCAATTTTTTCATGGACGGTCTATTACGGATATGTCGGGCTCAGTCCCTCACCACCCGGGCGAACCCATAATGGGCTTGCTATAAGAGACCCTCTTAGCGCCCACAGGGTGGAAAGAGTTAATTTTAAAAAAATCCTCTAAGAGATCAAGATGATACATTAATGAAATATCAATCTATCAACGTAATAGACCCCATTGACAGCTAGATGCAGACAGTTTTAACTTTAGGCATACTCATATTAGGCATGTGCCTATGGCCCGGAAAATGGAGTCCTCGGGAAGATGTAAAAATTATATATTTTAATGTTACTAATGCTGTTTTACCAAAATATATAATATACTATATGCTTCAGTCAAGTATCTACCGTACCAGGGTCAGGCTGCCAGTTGTAGTGGGGTGGAAGAAGTGCCGGAAGGTGTCCGAAATACCCGAGAGCCTGGTCATGAGTTAATACAGTCCTGACTGGATGGTCAAAAATTTTAATCCTATTTTTATGAGGATCGGTAATCTGAATTTGAGTGTGGGACGAACATCTTAGAAATTTTAATGAGTGGTTTAATCCGGGTATGTCGGATTCCGTTTGTCAATATCCGGCTACTCATTGTAAGCTTTGCTGAACTTGCAAATGAAAAGAAAAAAAGATTTCTTAGGGCCAACAGAGCGGAAAGAGTTTTAAAAAACCTCTTCTTATCTGTTGGGAATTGGAATCACTATTTCACTCTTTTGTTCATATCGTCTGCATTAATTTTATTATTCTGTATTGATGTATTTTTCCAAATAACTTTATAATATTCTTTATGTTTATTTAAAAAATAAAATAATTTGTCATAAATTTTAAGAAAACTTTAAATTTTCATGCATATATATACAATTTCAATACAGTATTTTAGAGAAAACGAGTCATTTTTATTTTGTGGTCTGACGGCAACAAAAAGTTCAGGAAGAGTCAGGCCAGTAAGACAGATTTAATAGAATATAATAGAAAAGAATTCATTGAATCAACATTTTGCCTAATGCAAAAAACTCACAAGAGTTTTCTCTCGTCTTCCCGAATAAATAATAATTTATCTTACAAAAACGATAGATGGCGCTTTTAGTATCGAAATTAATCAAAAGGCAGACGACAGTAGCAGTAGTAATGGAGTACAGTTGATAACTATATATTATATAAATGCTCTCTGTATTCGATCATTCCATACATTTTTACTATAGAAGTTATAAAAATGTAGAATATCAGATTTTAATGTAATGATTATTATTTAAACAGCAACTGTTAAAGATGTTAAAGTTAGCAAATGTGTTAAGAAGGAACTGGTTCATTTTTTGTATTTGCCTTGCCGTTACTTTTGCTTGGATCAATCCTCAAATTGGATCCAAAGGAGGTGAGTAGCGAATCAAATAATTCTGATGTAATTTTCTATTAAATTCTGATGATACATTCAATATTGAGTATAAACTATTAATAAATTATAATCAATACATCGATTATGCCTAACTTTCCCATACAGTTACGTAAACCAAAATACACTAGAGTGTGTCGTCTTAGGAACATTTGGAGAATACACATATGTTATTAAGAATGTTAATTCAAAGTGGATATGGACATCTGAAATAAAAATAAAACTTTTACAAATTAAATTACAAAAGCAAAATAATGTTGCCATTATTCTGCTTTGAACTGATTCTGTATAAAGCAGGGGTTTCCAACCTTTTTGTTTCTCTGGGCAACACTGAAAGAATTCAAGGAGTTTTGGACCACAACTATATATACTTATGGCCCAATATACAAGTATATTTAAGGATTAACATGTCTAGATTATAATAATAAATATTAGAACTTTATCACAAAAAAAAGATATTTTAAAAAATTACTTCTACAGACACTTTCAATTTTTACTTAGAAATAGATAAATTCATTTATTATAAAAGAGACAAACGAAAATTTATTTGAAAAACACAAATATTTGTTTAATTTGGGTCTTTAATTAATAAAAAGCGATGAAACACCATTTTAAAGTGCATTTTTATTCAACTAATATATTTACAAATAATATGTAGCCAAAAAAAGTAGCCAAAGCGCCAAATTATATTTTTTACGTCAAACAAAAAAAGTAGCCACATTTGGCACAATGTAGCCAAATCTTACAACGCTGGAAGGAATACTAAATAAAGTTGGAGTTGGGACTCAAAGGATTATAGACCCAAATGCGGGGNTACATATATAATTTAATGTAAATATAAATATTTATAAATTATATGTCATTATATGTTAAGATAATTTTTCAGAGATTGATTATTCAATAATTACCAACAATGTTACTTTATTTTTTAGGATTGGAAAAGAACAATTATGCAATATAACATTCATATATTTATTCAAAGTTTTACTCTGGTTTTGGTACCACTTCTTATTCAAATTCTTGTTATAATTTTAAAAGAAGTTGGGCTTAATAAAGGAATTGCTAGTGGGTTTTCAGTTGTTGGTTGTATGCCACCTCCGGTATCATCAGCAGTTATTCTCACAAAAGCTGCAGGAGGAAATGAGGTTATTAATTTATTTAACAGTGAATAAGAAGTATATATTTTTTAAAAATATATATATATTTTAAAGTTGTTCTTAAGGTGTACATACAAATTTAGAAATATAATAATTATATTTTTTTCCAGGCTGTAGCAGTTTTCAACTCTGTTCTTGGTAGCTTCTTGGTAAGCAATAATTAATTTGTATTTTATTTAAGTTAATATATTTACTAATCTAATATTATTTCTATATTTTATAGGGTATAATAGTAACTCCACTTTTGATATTGCTAACAGTAAGTTTATTTAATTTCATAATTTTATATCTGTTATCTTTTGTATTAATTAATTAAACATAAGCCAGCATAATCATCTATAACATCCTGTAAAAATTATATCTATTTCACGACTATTACAGAAAAAAATTACTATATCATTTATCATTTATGAGATATTTTCATTTAATTTTTCTACAGTCAAACCTGTCTATAATGGAACCTGTATATAGTGAAAACCTGTCAATAACAGAAAATTTCTTCGGTCCCTTGAATTTTTTGCAAAAATTAATATAAATTAGCTTGTATATAATAGAACCTGTCTAATGTGAAAACGGAAAAAAAAAATTGGGTCATATATAAAAATAGGATAACTTTTAGATATTATTAGATTAATGAATAAAAATTTAGCTATGAAGTCTATAATTTTCTTTGTTTTTCAATGAAATTTTGATAGTTTTCTGGCAATTTTTGTTGAAAATTTTGAGATTTTGATTAGCATTTTTGCTGCAAAGATTACTAAATAATGATTTCTTTTAATAGATACACTAAATAAAAAATTAATATTTTGTAGAATCAGAAAAGCCACTTCATAAACTTCATTTCCCTTCAGTTTCCAAGTTAGAAATTGTTTGATTTATTTTCATATCTTAAACTAATTAATTATTATTAATAAAAAATTAATAATAAAATTTTTATAGATTTAGCAATAATTATCAACATAAAGGTATAGAGATTCAAGAAAAATTATATAATAATCCATTTGATTTTTTTGTGTAATTGCATAAGACTTTTAAGCACAGTTTTTTCATCTGTTTTTGCTTTTAAGTTCTTCACTTTATTTTGTGAAAATTTAAATCAAAACAATGAAAAAACTAATTGGTTAAAACTAAATTTAACCAATTAGTTTTTTCATTGATTTTGTTTTGTTTTTTTCTCAGTGATCTTAATAGTCATTGCATTTATTGCAGCAGTTCTTCAGTAGTCTCTGACTGTGCCAATTTTAATCATAGTGTTGAAACTATTGAAGAATTTTTGTCCAATTCTCAAACACAAGACACAGTAATTGCCAATTGTTTAATTGCTGATTAGTGAGTGCCATGTGTTTGAGAAAATGGCAATTAAACACATTCTATGGGTACTAGGTTTTCAGATTTTTTTTCTTCTGTGCATTACAGACATATTTTGGTGTTTTCAACATGCCCTTGAAGTTTAAAACATTTCCATTGCAGGAAAAACAGTTTTAAGTATGAATTGTACTATTTTTTCTTCAACGTTTCTCTTTTTTCTCCATTAATAAAAACATGAGCTTCTGTAAAACAAAAGCTCATGTTTTTATTAATGGAGAAAAAACAGAATCTGCCAAAATGGAAAATTGTAACCAATATTACCACATTTTATCTTAGACAGTTTCACTATTAATATATTCTGTCCTGATTACATTTTTCCTAATTGGTATTTTGATTTATTTTTTTCCTATTGTGCAAAGTCTGTAGCATTAGAAAATTTTATCAGGCTATCGTTATGTTAAAGATTGTATTTTGAAATTTTAAGCCATATCTACATGTCATATTTTGCTTGAATTATAATACTGGATTGTTTGGAAAGTAATTTCGTTTTTTACCGCCAGAGGAATTGGTTGTATTTTTACTCGTAAATTTCATTTTAAACTCTATCGTCATTATATATTTTGACATCTGATATTTCAAGGCTTATCTGTAAAAAATTTTGTTTGATTCTGTGCAATTGCTTTTTTGGTGTCCCATCAAATATGGAAAATCGAAAGCAGCATTTTCAGCATAGTTTGCTTTTAGTATTACCAAAAACATAAAAATGCTGTTCAAGCAAGAAAAAATTGTGTGACATATATGGAAAAGATGTGTTGACAGAATGATAGAGCCAAAACTGGTTCACAAAATTTTGTTTTGGCAATTTTGATATTGAAGATGCACCACATTCTGGAAGGCAGTTGAAGCTAATAAAGACAAAATAAAGGTATTGATTAAAGCAAGGGTGGGCAACCTTTTTTATAACATGGGACAGAATAAATTTTATGTTTTTTCCGCGGGCCATAGTAGTTAATTGACACTTTATGACCTCTAAATTTTTAGTCTGCAAATATGAAATAAATAAAAAAAAATTAATAATAAAATTTTTATAGATTTAGCAATAATTATCAACATAAAGGTATAGAGATTCAAGAAAAATTATATAATAATCCATTTGATTTTTTTGTGTAATTGCATAAGACTTTTAAGCACAGTTTTTTCATCTGTTTTTGCTTTTAAGTTCTTCACTTTATTTTGTGAAAATTTAAATCAAAACAATGAAAAAACTAATTGGTTAAAACTAAATTTAACCAATTAGTTTTTTCATTGATTTTGTTTTGTTTTTTTCTCAGTGATCTTAATAGTCATTGCATTTATTGCAGCAGTTCTTCAGTAGTCTCTGACTGTGCCAATTTTAATCATAGTGTTGAAACTATTGAAGAATTTTTGTCCAATTCTCAAACACAAGACACAGTAATTGCCAATTGTTTAATTGCTGATTAGTGAGTGCCATGTGTTTGAGAAAATGGCAATTAAACACATTCTATGGGTACTAGGTTTTCAGATTTTTTTTCTTCTGTGCATTACAGACATATTTTGGTGTTTTCAACATGCCCTTGAAGTTTAAAACATTTCCATTGCAGGAAAAACAGTTTTAAGTATGAATTGTACTATTTTTTCTTCAACGTTTCTCTTTTTTCTCCATTAATAAAAACATGAGCTTCTGTAAAACAAAAGCTCATGTTTTTATTAATGGAGAAAAAACAGAATCTGCCAAAATGGAAAATTGTAACCAATATTACCACATTTTATCTTAGACAGTTTCACTATTAATATATTCTGTCCTGATTACATTTTTCCTAATTGGTATTTTGATTTATTTTTTTCCTATTGTGCAAAGTCTGTAGCATTAGAAAATTTTATCAGGCTATCGTTATGTTAAAGATTGTATTTTGAAATTTTAAGCCATATCTACATGTCATATTTTGCTTGAATTATAATACTGGATTGTTCGGAAAGTAATTTCGTTTTTTACCGCCAGAGGAATTGGTTGTATTTTTACTCGTAAATTTCATTTTAAACTCTATCGTCATTATATATTTTGACATCTGATATTTCAAGGCTTATCTGTAAAAAATTTTGTTTGATTCTGTGCAATTGCTTTTTTGGTGTCCCATCAAATATGGAAAATCGAAAGCAGCATTTTCAGCATAGTTTGCTTTTAGTATTACCAAAAACATAAAAATGCTGTTCAAGCAAGAAAAAATTGTGTGACATATATGGAAAAGATGTGTTGACAGAATGATAGAGCCAAAACTGGTTCACAAAATTTTGTTTTGGCAATTTTGATATTGAAGATGCACCACATTCTGGAAGGCAGTTGAAGCTAATAAAGACAAAATAAAGGTATTGATTAAAGCAAGGGTGGGCAACCTTTTTTATAACATGGGACAGAATAAATTTTATGTTTTTTCCGCGGGCCATAGTAGTTAATTGACACTTTATGACCTCTAAATTTTTAGTCTGCAAATATGAAATAAATAAAAAAAAATTAATTACTACAGTCGACCCCCCTATAACGCTGTTGATTATTCCGTTTTATATGAATTCCATGTTGTATGAGTCACTTAGATTTTACAAATGCGTGTGCCGGGCTGTGAACGGCTCACCTATTTGTAAAATCTAAGTGACTTTAAACACAATAAAAACAGCACTATGTAGTTGGATACGACAGACATTACATTTTCTAATTGCATAGCTTTTGCACATAGATTTTCTTGATGGATGATGCGATGAGAGATAAATAATTTAGAAAAATTCTGTTCTCCCATTTTTTGTTTGAATAAGGAAAGACTCCCTTATTTTTTCCTGTCATTGCTGCCACAACACTTCAGAAAATAATATTCAATTTAAACTAGACGAATTACATCGAAAAATATTTATTTATAATTTCTTCTAAACATCTCGCGGGCCGGATAGAAACTTTTCGCGGGCTGTAGCTGGCCCGCGGGCCGGGTGTTGCCCACCGTTGGATTAAAGCAAAGCATTGATTAACAACACGAGAAATCACTAAGAGATTAAATTTATCGAATTGAACCATTCATGATCACTTGAAACGACTTAGTTTCATTTCAAAGCTCAATATACGGGTTCCACATGTTCTTAAAGAAAGAGGTGCTTTCTGGTTGGATTTTAAAGGATTTTTTTGAACTTCTACCAGGCAATTCCACAATTGATTCAAAAGTGTACTGCGATCAAGTAAAGAAATTGAATGATATCGTCAAACAGAAAAGGCCAGAATTGATCAACAGAAAAGATGTAGTGTATCCATGCTAATGCCAGATCTCACAAGTTTAGTAACTTGTCAGAAACTTACAACTTGGATGGGATGTGCTACCACACCCACCATATTTGCCAGATCTGGCATTCTCAGATTATTTGCTCTGATCTTTACAAAATATTTTAAACCATAAAACATTTACTTGAAATGATGATGTCAAAAATCACTTAGATCAGTTTTTTGTAAGCAAAGATCAAAACTTTTATGAATGTGGAATCATGCTACTACCAGAAAGATGCAACAGTTTGATCAAAATGGTCAGTATATAATTCAATAAAATATTTATATTATAAGAAAATTGGTTTTCATTTTTTTTCCCCACGAGAAAACAAAATGAAATNACTTAGAAATAGATAAATTCATTTATTATAAAAGAGACAAACGAAAATTTATTTGAAAAACACAAATATTTGTTTAATTTGGGTCTTTAATTAATAAAAAGCGATGAAACACCATTTTAAAGTGCATTTTTATTCAACTAATATATTTACAAATAATATGTAGCCAAAAAAAGTAGCCAAAGCGCCAAATTATATTTTTTACGTCAAACAAAAAAAGTAGCCACATTTGGCACAATGTAGCCAAATCTTACAACGCTGGAAGGAATACTAAATAAAGTTGGAGTTGGGACTCAAAGGATTATAGACCCAAATGCGGGGAAAGGAGAGAAAGGACAAAAGGTAAAGAAGTGAGAAAGGTTGGAAAATTAAGGGTCAATATTTGCATAACAGAAGATCTATTTAACCTTCTCACTACTTTTTATCTTTTGTCCTTTCTCTCTTTTCCCTCCTCTCCCCAAATTTGGGTCTATAATCCTTTGAGTCACAACTCCAGCTTTATTTAGTAATCCTTCCTCATTCACACATCTCCAAGTATTTGAAAATATTTCCTTTCCACTCAAAAATAAAATATAAATAAAGGTTTATGGCCTTGTGAAACTTATTTTTTGAGTTTATGCCATTGAAATAAATAAATAATAAAAGAATTTAAACATTTGTCGGTTTTGTTTACATGTTTATTGGGCCGCATTGGAACTTGCCTTGGGCCACATGCGGTCCGCGGGCCGCGGGTTGGACACCCCTGGTATAAAGTGTAAAATTCAATAAAATTCACTTGCAGTGTATAGAGCATTGTTACAGAAAACCTGTCTTGTGTAACTTAAAGATGTAATGACATTTCTGAAAACAATCTTTGTTAGTCTTTATCACAATTTTGTTATTATTTTTTAGCACAGTATACCGTGATTTTTGTTGATAATTCATCTGAAAACGATCAGTGAAATCTGAAACTGACAAAAATCAAGACAAATTTTTCCATATAAATCAATGTAAATCCAATTAATTCTAAACACTCCAAAATACGTACCAAAAACACATTTTATAGAGAATAAATACAGTGTTTTAATACTAAAAACAATAAGAAATTAATATAAAATGAATATAAAAGACTAATGTAATGAATAAATGAACATTAAACATGGAATTTAACTTTCTGAAGACTCTTTTTGGCATAGTGAAGACTGCGAGGGGGAACACATGGGTCGCCCTTTGTTTTCACAAAATTAGTAGCGAGGTTACGTGCTGGCAAAATCCAAGGTAACTGACAAAAATCATACAATAAGTGATATACGAGACAAATTTTTCCTGGAAAGAATCAACGAAAACCACAGTCAACAAAAATTGAGGTATTACTGTATTATTAAATTTGTCTCATTTTTAATTAACAGAAATCTGAATTCAGTAAGTTGTTTGAATGCAAATTTAATACAGTACATATTCATGTTAGAATTTTCTCATGTTACAGTGATTTAGATTATAAAAAAAATTATTTATTTAGAGATGATAACTTATAACAAAAAGTTTGACTAATTTGTGAAGTAGTGAAGAATTTCATAATGGAACTAATGCTACTTCTATATTGTGATTATTATTATATAACTATTATTGATTATTGTTATGTAAAAATTATGCAATACCATTGAATAAATTCTGACAACTCGCTTTATTATATTAAGTCAAGTAAATAATTTTTTCCAACAAAATCTTCAACACACAAACTTTAATTAATATATACTTTTGACAAAACAACATCTCACTTAGAGAAACTTAACCGAGAAAAGTCAAAAGCAGTATGCAAAAGCTGGTAAATTGCACTGCAAATGAACTCACAAAATTCTTCCTGCATGCATTGATGCAGGAAAATCAGAGATCCTTAGTGCTTCCTATCCCTATAAATCTTAATTTTGCTAATAAAAAATAAAATTGTTCAGACTACTATTTATTAAATTAATAAAGAAGCATTCTACATATTTCATTTCTTTAATGAAATGGCAAAAGAGGTCTGCTCCTACCCCTGGCTTCCATCAAGCTCTCAACACATTTGGTCACATCAGTGTTGTGAATAGTGTAGCTGGATTGTTGGCTGTAAATGTCTCTCTTATTTTAAGAATGCCACAATGACAAAGGACTACACACCTTTCTTATGATAAGCTGGGCTTAGATGAAATTGGCCGAAAATGAAATATATTATAGTTTGAGATTCTGATAAAAAATCCCAATGGGAAGACATTTCATAAATGCACAATCTAGGCTCTCAAAGTGTGTTATGCACAAAATTCACCACTCAGGGAAAACTGATAAAATGAGAAGATAATGAACCATAGATTATGTACTATCATATTTACTTTAATACACACAAATATAAACACACTAACATGACTTCTCCTTGCCTCTCATCTTTTAAGCATTCTCTTCAAAGGGGTACTTGCTTAACATGACTAAACCTCCATCATGTCTACATCATTAATCCTGCTGAGAACAGATTCTAAATACAAATAATTCATGACACATGCCTAACTTGTTTTTCATAAATTTTCAGCATGAAATTTTGTTTAAAGTACTTTAATCTGCTTTTTCATGGTAACAGTCAAAAGCATGTACATTTTGAGTTTGTAGCAGAAAAAGAATCAAAAATTTTATTTTAATTAAAGGTTTTTAAGTTAGTTTTAAGGGAATACATTTATTTTAAAAACAAGGAGTTATTACATAATGGAAAAAAATACAGATCTATTCATTAACTAAGCTTTACCATATCATGTGTTTATACACATGATATGGTAAAGCTTTATTTAGTTTTAATTCCACTTGACTCTTGTTAAAAATATAATTAAGTATTTGTTAATCACAAAAACTTAAATTTACTAAGATTAAAAAATTATTTTTATTATTGCTCATATAATATATTATATTATTTTAGGATATTTAAAGCCAGAAATCACAGTAAAATATGTTTTAGTTGTGACAATATTTTTAATCAGTGGCCTTTCATTAAAGACTGAGGTAATATATTTTTAATAAACAGAACTTTAAAAGTTTTATTATATTTTTTTTTACATTGGTATTTCTATTATCTGTATAGAACATTAATTTTTAAAATAGTTTTTTTTTCTAAATAATAATCAATATATAAGTATTGTTTGCAATTTTATATTTAGAAGCCATAATTGCATCATGCATACAAAACATTTAGTCTTTTATATTATTATTTTAACTTTTCTCATAGATTCTTCATTTTTATTTAATGTTTTTAGCATATAGTATAGATATTGGTAAAGCTTTATAGAATACTATATGCTATAGCATATAAAATATTTGGATATCTTGTACAATATTCTATATTCTGATGTAAAATTTCTAAAATACATGTTAAAAATGTGAACTGTCTTCATGTATTACACATTAAAATAAAATCAAATTTGGTTATTCAATTAAGCTCTCAAAAAAACACACCTTTAAAAAATCCAGCAATGAATTTACTAAATAATAATGTTTTTGATCAGTTTAACTGGTCTTCTTCAGTTATGATAAAATAGAATGCAAATACAAAAATTTTAAAATAAACAATAACAAGAATTCTAAATCTCTTTGTATAAAAGGGCTGGCAGAATTACAATTTAATAAAAAGTAAAATACATCTGGATACGAGTTCAATTTTGCTTGCCATGTCCAATCACCAGGAACAACTATTTCCATTGCAGAGACAACCTTTCTTTAGAGGCTTTAGAACCTGGTGATTGGACATGGCAAGCAAAATTGGACTTGTATCCAGATGTATTTTACTTTTTATTAAAAAAAATTCTAAAATAAATAAATAACCAAAATTGTAGTTGAGATTAATAAATAAATAACTACAGAAATAAAATAAACATTATTATTTAGTAAATTTTATTGCTGGATTTTTTTTAAAATGTTTTTTTCAATTGTAATCTATTCAATCAAACTCTTTGTTAATGATGTTTATAATTTAACATCATTAAGTAATGAAGCTAAAAAAAAAGAACTTGGTTGAATAATCAATTTTATTTTACTTCAGTATGAAATGTCTTGCATATTAAAACAAAGCATACATTTTTTTCAGGTATGTTTCAAGCATAATAGCTACGTAAAATGTAAACAAAAACAATTAAAGAAAAAATTTTAAATTAAAATGTTAAATATTAAATTAAAATATTTATTTAATAATAATGTATAACTATTGGGTTTGGATAAAATATTTATTCATTGAAGTACATTGCAATCCATTCTAACAATATTGAAAATGTTTAACAACTTACTAAACTTACTGAACAGTTTGCTTCAATCTTTCTTGTTAGTAAGCAAATTTTTTATTTACAGAGATACTATTTCTATTGCAAATAATAAAAGGGAAATAGAGCAAAACATTTTTATGAAAATAATTAAAATAATTTTCAAAGTATTTTGGTACATTAAATTGAATGGATTTGTTAATTATAGAAGTACTTGACAGAATTGAACAGCCTAATAATTTTGATGGTTTCCTTTTGCAACAAGTTCTGAAACTTTTCTGTCCTTTTTTTACAGACAGAGTTGATCACATTCTTTATACTTTAGCTTGTTTACAATGGAGTACTTGTGCAAAAAATGAGCTCTAACCAATAAACTTGGCTTTATTAATTACTATTATTATTAGTAATTGTTGAAATGAGTAATGACTAGTGAATACAACAAATAAAAAATCCTGAACATAGCCAAAAATTCTTCTACACAATCCCCAACAATGTAAAAAAAGGATATATCCAGGAAATTTCAGAAACACAGCATTTCTAATATATTGTAAAGTATTTTAATACACAAAAAAGTACAGGTTGTCAGGCTTACAGATTTATTAAAAGAAAAATTTATAACTTGCATTGTATTTAATAAAACAACTTTTGAATACAACAGTAAGAACCAATCTACCATCTGGGAACTATATTCAGAAATTGTTCTATCTAATTGCAAAGTGGGGAGGAGTCACATCTTATTGAGAAATGGTGCCAGGAGGAAGTTGAGGGGTGGCATATGCTGCAGAATAAGTTGTCCAAATAACTTGATCCTGTCATTGTGGCCTATCACCTGATCCTATATTGCTATTCTGCACATGTGCTAGTAACAAATGCTGAAGTATGATATTTGTAAGAAATGGCCACAACTGACTTAGTCTTACAATGCAAGTTATAAATTTTCCTTTTATTAAACCTGTGAATCAGACACCCTGTATAAAACACATGAAAAACACTATTGACATTATATAAGATCAAATAATAATAATGTTGCTCAGTTACAATAAATTACATTAATTAATTAATTACTTAAATTATAATTACATTGTAAATATATATATAATATAATGTAAATATAAATATTTATAAATTATATGTCATTATATGTTAAGATAATTTTTCAGAGATTGATTATTCAATAATTACCAACAATGTTACTTTATTTTTTAGGATTGGAAAAGAACAATTATGCAATATAACATTCATATATTTATTCAAAGTTTTACTCTGGTTTTGGTACCACTTCTTATTCAAATTCTTGTTATAATTTTAAAAGAAGTTGGGCTTAATAAAGGAATTGCTAGTGGGTTTTCAGTTGTTGGTTGTATGCCACCTCCGGTATCATCAGCAGTTATTCTCACAAAAGCTGCAGGAGGAAATGAGGTTATTAATTTATTTAACAGTGAATAAGAAGTATATATTTTTTAAAAATATATATATATTTTAAAGTTGTTCTTAAGGTGTACATACAAATTTAGAAATATAATAATTATATTTTTTTCCAGGCTGTAGCAGTTTTCAACTCTGTTCTTGGTAGCTTCTTGGTAAGCAATAATTAATTTGTATTTTATTTAAGTTAATATATTTACTAATCTAATATTATTTCTATATTTTATAGGGTATAATAGTAACTCCACTTTTGATATTGCTAACAGTAAGTTTATTTAATTTCATAATTTTATATCTGTTATCTTTTGTATTAATTAATTAAACATAAGCCAGCATAATCATCTATAACATCCTGTAAAAATTATATCTATTTCACGACTATTACAGAAAAAAATTACTATATCATTTATCATTTATGAGATATTTTCATTTAATTTTTCTACAGTCAAACCTGTCTATAATGGAACCTGTATATAGTGAAAACCTGTCAATAACAGAAAATTTCTTCGGTCCCTTGAATTTTTTGCAAAAATTAATATAAATTAGCTTGTATATAATAGAACCTGTCTAATGTGAAAACGGAAAAAAAAAATTGGGTCATATATAAAAATAGGATAACTTTTAGATATTATTAGATTAATGAATAAAAATTTAGCTATGAAGTCTATAATTTTCTTTGTTTTTCAATGAAATTTTGATAGTTTTCTGGCAATTTTTGTTGAAAATTTTGAGATTTTGATTAGCATTTTTGCTGCAAAGATTACTAAATAATGATTTCTTTTAATAGATACACTAAATAAAAAATTAATATTTTGTAGAATCAGAAAAGCCACTTCATAAACTTCATTTCCCTTCAGTTTCCAAGTTAGAAATTGTTTGATTTATTTTCATATCTTAAACTAATTAATTATTATTAATAAAAAATTAATAATAAAATTTTTATAGATTTAGCAATAATTATCAACATAAAGGTATAGAGATTCAAGAAAAATTATATAATAATCCATTTGATTTTTTTGTGTAATTGCATAAGACTTTTAAGCACAGTTTTTTCATCTGTTTTTGCTTTTAAGTTCTTCACTTTATTTTGTGAAAATTTAAATCAAAACAATGAAAAAACTAATTGGTTAAAACTAAATTTAACCAATTAGTTTTTTCATTGATTTTGTTTTGTTTTTTTCTCAGTGATCTTAATAGTCATTGCATTTATTGCAGCAGTTCTTCAGTAGTCTCTGACTGTGCCAATTTTAATCATAGTGTTGAAACTATTGAAGAATTTTTGTCCAATTCTCAAACACAAGACACAGTAATTGCCAATTGTTTAATTGCTGATTAGTGAGTGCCATGTGTTTGAGAAAATGGCAATTAAACACATTCTATGGGTACTAGGTTTTCAGATTTTTTTTCTTCTGTGCATTACAGACATATTTTGGTGTTTTCAACATGCCCTTGAAGTTTAAAACATTTCCATTGCAGGAAAAACAGTTTTAAGTATGAATTGTACTATTTTTTCTTCAACGTTTCTGTTTTTTCTCCATTAATAAAAACATGAGCTTCTGTAAAACAAAAGCTCATGTTTTTATTAATGGAGAAAAAACAGAATCTGCCAAAATGGAAAATTGTAACCAATATTACCACATTTTATCTTAGACAGTTTCACTATTAATATATTCTGTCCTGATTACATTTTTCCTAATTGGTATTTTGATTTATTTTTTTCCTATTGTGCAAAGTCTGTAGCATTAGAAAATTTTATCAGGCTATCGTTATGTTAAAGATTGTATTTTGAAATTTTAAGCCATATCTACATGTCATATTTTGCTTGAATTATAATACTGGATTGTTCGGAAAGTAATTTCGTTTTTTACCGCCAGAGGAATTGGTTGTATTTTTACTCGTAAATTTCATTTTAAACTCTATCGTCATTATATATTTTGACATCTGATATTTCAAGGCTTATCTGTAAAAAATTTTGTTTGATTCTGTGCAATTGCTTTTTTGGTGTCCCATCAAATATGGAAAATCGAAAGCAGCATTTTCAGCATAGTTTGCTTTTAGTATTACCAAAAACATAAAAATGCTGTTCAAGCAAGAAAAAATTGTGTGACATATATGGAAAAGATGTGTTGACAGAATGATAGAGCCAAAACTGGTTCACAAAATTTTGTTTTGGCAATTTTGATATTGAAGATGCACCACATTCTGGAAGGCAGTTGAAGCTAATAAAGACAAAATAAAGGTATTGATTAAAGCAAGGGTGGGCAACCTTTTTTATAACATGGGACAGAATAAATTTTATGTTTTTTCCGCGGGCCATAGTAGTTAATTGACACTTTATGACCTCTAAATTTTTAGTCTGCAAATATGAAATAAATAAAAAAAAATTAATTACTACAGTCGACCCCCCTATAACGCTGTCGATTATTCCGTTTTATATAAATTCCATGTTGTATGAGTCACTTAGATTTTACAAATGCGTGTGCCGGGCTGTGAACGGCTCACCTATTTGTAAAATCTAAGTGACTTTAAACACAATAAAAACAGCACTATGTAGTTGGATACGACAGACATTACATTTTCTAATTGCATAGCTTTTGCACATATATTTTCTTGATGGATGATGCGATGAGATAAATAATTTAGAAAAATTCTGTTCTCCCATTTTTTGTTTGAATAAGGAAAGACTCCCTTATTTTTTCCTGTCATTGCTGCCACAACACTTCAGAAAATAATATTCAATTTAAACTAGACGAATTACATCGAAAAATATTTATTTATAATTTCTTCTAAACATCTCGCGGGCCGGATAGAAACTTTTCGCGGGCTGTAGCTGGCCCGCGGGCCGGGTGTTGCCCACCGTTGGATTAAAGCAAAGCATTGATTAACAACACGAGAAATCACTAAGAGATTAAATTTATCGAATTGAACCATTCATGATCACTTGAAACGACTTAGTTTCATTTCAAAGCTCAATATACGGGTTCCACATGTTCTTAAAGAAAGAGGTGCTTTCTGGTTGGATTTTAAAGGATTTTTTTGAACTTCTACCAGGCAATTCCACAATTGATTCAAAAGTGTACTGCGATCAAGTAAAGAAATTGAATGATATCGTCAAACAGAAAAGGCCAGAATTGATCAACAGAAAAGATGTAGTGTATCCATGCTAATGCCAGATCTCACAAGTTTAGTAACTTGTCAGAAACTTACAACTTGGATGGGATGTGCTACCACACCCACCATATTTGCCAGATCTGGCATTCTCAGATTATTTGCTCTGATCTTTACAAAATATTTTAAACCATAAAACATTTACTTGAAATGATGATGTCAAAAATCACTTAGATCAGTTTTTTGTAAGCAAAGATCAAAACTTTTATGAATGTGGAATCATGCTACTACCAGAAAGATGCAACAGTTTGATCAAAATGGTCAGTATATAATTCAATAAAATATTTATATTATAAGAAAATTGGTTTTCATTTTTTTTCCCCACGAGAAAACAAAATGAAATTATTTTTTGAACAACCCAATAGTAAAAGAAGAAATGTTACTTATGTTTTTGATGTTTTTTCTTCAGAATTAATATTTTAAAATTTTGACACAAAAAATTAAATAGTATTTTACAAAAGTTGTATTATACAACAATATTATTTTTTACAAATTTTGCTGAATTTTTTAAACTGAAATTTTATTTATTTTGTAGAAAAATAATGTTATAATAAATATAACTGCTATTTTTAATAAATTAATATTACATTTTAAATTTTTAGGTTGGTTCCTCTGCTTTGATACCTGTGAGATCAACAATTTTGCAATTATTTTGGACCATAATATTTCCTTTGATTATTGGGCAAAGTTTACGTTATTGTTTTGTTGCTTGGATCAATAGAAACCAAGTTAAATTAAATACAGTTGGAAGGTTTGCTTACTTATACTAAATTGAAGTATAAATAAATTAATTCTATAATAATAATTGAAAATTTTAACTTGTTGATTATGAATTTATAAAATATATATATTTAAAGTATATTTTATAAGTGTATATATTTTAGTTTTATGAATATATACCATAATTTCATATGGATAACCTGCAGTAGCATATACATATGCCTCAATAGCCATTGGAAACAAGACATCAGTGTGGAATTTAGAAGATATTGTCTCAGATACTTAAATTTTTCCACATTTTATCATCATAATCAGTTTACTCTAGATGTAATTATAAAATAAAATGGAACAAACAGAAGTAGAGTATTTGAAATGAATCTCCTAAACTACATCTGTTGAAAGTTATAAAATGCTGCTGAACATCCAAAATTTTATCATCTTGCTTCATTTCTATTTTATTTATTAAATAATAATAAATGTAGGAAATTCTTAAACACAGCAGATACATTTGTGAATAGCACACACACAAAAAACAATTTATTTTGTAGTTACGCCTTAAGTTTTGTTCTGGATAACATTAGACTTCAGTATTATAATCGAAGTAGGATACACTCCATGAACCATAATTAAAATTGGCATGAAATCAATCATTTTGCATCATTGTATAATTCTCATCTACTTTCAAATTGACTTTTAGTCACACATAATCCAAGGATTAATTACTAAAATCAACAACAAACATCTTTGGCTGTTAAGACACATCTATTTGATATACACTGTTTTCAGCCTAATGCATAGACGATATTTTTAATACCTATTTTAGGACTTAGGTGCCATATTTTTGGAACATCAGTTACAAACTGTTCCAAAATACAGGGTATTTATAATTAAAAGTTTTTTTTTGAAATTGCCATAAAAGGAAAACTACTGGACAAAATGTTATCAAACTTGATAATAGCTTATTGGAAGTCATGGGGTTTTATTTCCCCCCAAAAAATAGTTCAAAAACTAACCATCAGCGGGGAATGGCGCTGCATGCAATATTGCTAAATGAATCAAGACATGAAGACATTGGTTGAAAATGAACAATTTAGCGGAATTGAAAAATGCGATACATCATGTCCGTAACATTGATCCTGATATGCTAAGAGCTACTGTTGAGAACACAGTAATGCAATTTAACTTGCTTTCAGAAAATGGTGGATGCCACATTGAACATGCTTTGTAACACGTTTTAGAAACAATTAAAAACATTTTCAACTGATGTCTGCATGTCTTATTTCGTTTAACAATATTGCATACAGCGCCATTCCCACAGGTGGTGAATTTTTGAACTACAGTGGAACCTCACTTAATGAGCATAATTCGTTCCAGAATTGTACTCGTAATATGAAACACTCGTTAAGCAAAACAATTTTTCCCATATAAATTAATGTAAAATACAATAATGCATTCCATGCCAAAAAATATTCAAATATTTTATGTATAATGTTTATTCAAAGAAAATTGTACAATGTGCATTGTTAAGAGTGTGAATCATCATCATCATTTCTTCTAGCATGGAATGAACCAACCTGGAATGAGAATTCGATTTGCAGAAAACAAAAAAAAAAAGATCACAGCTAATATGTTTGATAAACGCTCCAAATAATATGTGAAATTCTTGGGCTATGTAAAACTATAATTAAATATTATAAATGAATTAATTTAACTAGAAGTAGGCAGTTATGCTGCCATCTCATATTAAATAACTGCCTACTTCTAGTCAAATTAATTGATTTCTAATATTTAATTATAGCCTTTACATAGCCCAAGAATTTGGCATATCGTTTGACATGTTTATTATATAACGGGCTATGGTTGTTGATGTTTATACATAATATGTGTGACCACAAGTTTGAAAAAAATATGTGATTATGAGTGACACTAAGATGCTAGTGGAACCAGTGCTAAACACAGACTGGAGCATGTGCACAATTTGGGACTTTCCCTCTCCTCATCATCATTATGCAAAACACTTGTTATGTGAGGTGCTTGTTAAGCGAGATTCTACTGTATATTTTCTTTTGTGGAAAATAAAATCCTATTACTTCCTGTAAACTATTACCAAGTTTGATAACATTTTGTCCAGTAGTTTTTCTTTTATGGCCATTGGTTGGGGGGTCCTTCCCTCCGCAATGGGAAGGACCCACCCAGCCAGAACAGACTCCCTGGCTTATACAGTATCCCCATTAGGGACAACAGATTTGATAGGGACCTTGTTTAATTGGCTCAACTAAATGCTTCTTGGGAGTCAGAGTACAGGAGCACCTTGCCGACATACAATATGCGAGAAATGTCACTGCTCCCTCCACATATGCTGGGGATCCAGACATTGTGGCAGTCTTTAACCAGGTGAAGCTCATCCTCACTTTGTCCTGCACGGACCACCTAAGATGGTTAGAGGCAGTTCACATATATAAATCTAGCCTTATTGCCACTTGCATCAATTATAAAGAGGAGGTGGTTTTGTCAGTAGCCTGGCAGGCCCTGATTGACACCGATCTTTAAATGCCAAGATCGACTAGCCATACGAATGCACATGCATGACATGACAAATATTTCTCTATTGTCGGATTCGAATGATTCTTCAAATTTTTGTAATCCAAACGTTTTATGTTTCATCAGAAATTCTGTTTAACCCTGAAGAACTCAAGGGAGTTCGAAAATGTTAGTGGCGAACTTTCTTTTTTGTTTTTCGTTGCACACGTCATTGGTTCATAGAGTACATTTTTTTTTATACCTTTTTTAATACATAGATTTTATATTTTCATTTTAGGGTAATTTTTTAGAACATATCATGCATTATGTATGACATTATTCATTATTAACAAACCATATTTTTGAATTTGTGTTGATAATTTCCAGTTTATTTTTTATTTTTTAGGGTTTAGATAGTGATTCAGCCTCAGTTATAATTTGAGACTTGAATCATATTTTGAAATATCTAATGTTTTCTAACAATTTCCTCTAATTTACTGTTTTGCACCACTATGATGCAAAACCTAGCAAAGTAGGAAAATTGTTGGAAGATATTAACCTTCATTCCTTTAATCATTCAGCCTTCATTTTAATTATCCATTTGTCCATTTAAAAAAAATTTATTAAGAATCAATGCATTAATAAAAATCTAATACTTCTGAATTAAATTAACCTATTTTTTTAATATAAATATGTCATCACTTATAAAAGAAATAATTAGTACAACTTTTGCAAAACTAACACATTTTGCAAATAATCATGTTATTTGATTGAGTTTGCTTTATATACAACTTTTTCATTCTTGCATCTCAGTGCTACCATTTATATCTGATGACATCTGATCTTTCAAAGTTTCATTAACTGGTCTTTCAAAGTTTTATTAATGCATTGACTGATTAGAATAGTGGAGAATTCTGGTGTAGGCTGTTTGAGATACATTGGGTAGCAGATCAAATAAAATGACAATTCAGTAATGCAATTGAAAAGATATAATAGAGAAATAATTATTTAATGGTGAGATAATTTTATTAAATGCTTGCGATGGAAAACAGTTTTCCATATTGTATTACTGAAACTTCTTATAGAAAAAGAGATGATATTTATAAGAAATGTTGTGAGTTTGGTGAATTTCACCATTTGTACCATGAAATAAAAGATAATTCAGCTTTTCTTCTTCTTTGGAAGCCTGAGCAGTGGAAATGGCAATCAAATTTGTTTGGCAGATGCTTCCTGCGCACACATATAGAAGCGTCAACTGGTGCTTGCTACAAGCTAAATGTAGTTCTCCAGATATGCACATTCTCTTGTATCAATTTGTGTGCTTTGTATGGCAGCACATGTGGCAACATCCAGCACCCACAGTTGCTGGATGCTGCCACATAGGAATATCCTAAGAGTGATAATGGTGAATACACTGTACACTTACTATTATAGTGCATTGTTTATAGCTTTTTTCATCTTATAGCTGTGAGTTTATTAGAGGCTGCTTACTATTAGAATAAATATGGTATTACAGTAATACCTTGACTTATGTGAACCTGGAGTTACGCGATTTTCAAATCTTGTCGATTCGTCTTTTGTTTGAGCGCCACACAACTCTTGATTTCTCACCTCCCCACACTATTGTTCAGCTTATGTGTTCGGACATGTCACGTGGAATTGACACATAGCTACAATTTATTTTGTGTTATTTATTTCTGTGTTTGTTATATCTATGGAGACTTGAGAGACTCTATGTGGTGATTTCTTGTAACTGTAAATGAATCAAAAGACGAGATAAGATTAATGAGAACATTTATTAGCTTACATACATCCGACTTGGATTTTACACAAATTGCGAAATTATACCCAGACTTATGCAAGTTCGATTTACGTGGTTATCGCTCAGTCCCACCTATCGCGTAAGTTTGGGGTATTGCTGTATTTAATATTCAATATAACATTTCCAACATTTTCTGTTAATAATTTATTATAAATTTATAACTTATTCATTAATTGTAAAGTTTACATCTATGACTAATTCATATATTGATAATATAAACCTTTGAAAACTTTGTATTTTAGTTGCATGCTCCTTTTGATAATTTATACTACATTTTGTGATATGTTTATTCAAGAAGAAACTGAAATAAAATTCTCTACATTTGTAATTACTGGTGTAATTGGTAAGTAGGAATTAAATATTTGAAATATATCACTCATTTATTTAAAAAAGTTAAAATTAGTGATGTAACGAGTATTCAGTTACTATTCAGTATTCGGCCGAATACCAAATACCTAAAAACGGGAGTAAGAAATAACAAAAACACAGTAAATTAATTATTTTGGTATTTAGATTTAATGTTATTGGGTAGGTGTTGTTTGTTTATATTTATTTATAACTTATAACATGCAAATAAAATAAAAAAATAATAATAATATTAGTCACTTGTTTTCACAATTTATAATTACAAAGATCAGCACACGTACACACCTATTGGTTCGAGAATCGTCACACACCTGAGGATCTGACCCTGCCTATCCTTCTTTTTAAGCACTCGTCTTTGCTCTTCCCTTTTTCTTTCCTCTATCGCTCTAGTCCACATATGCATACTTTATAATATGCACTCACGATACTTTCAATTCGTCACTTTTTTATCTTAGATTTCCAATTTTACAATTACGTGACTCATAGCCTGGTGATAATGGAGAAAAGAGACATATAGGACATTGATATTAGTCACAGTTATTATTTCACAGATTCGACAGAGCTTGGTAGCCTGAACGGCCTCAGGCTTTTGCCCGTGCACGCTAAGTGACTTTCATTACAAGCATTTAACTTTCTAAATCTATGACAACAATTGTTTGGCATTGACAGGTGCGAATTTCACGCTAATAAGCTGCCTCGACTTGTTCAATTATGTTATCAACTAAATTTCATATTTATTTTCATTTTCACTTCGCGGTCCTTCTCTGTTTTTTTCCCGTTATTTATTAATGTAGGTCATTTCATTGTTATCCACATTTGATATCATCATTTATCATTTAGTCCACTACAACTGTCAAGAGTTAACGCAATTGGTGAAGCGTAGTGATAGCGGGCCAATGGAGAGCAGGGTCCTTGCCATAATGCGGTTTGGATGCCAATTTTTGTACATGCGTTAATTAATTAATCAAGCTGGATAGTTTGGCCAAATATTTGGCTATTCAGCCATGCTCCTGGTTGAATATTCAGTATTTGGCCTGAGGCCGAATATACTATTCGTTGCAACACTAGTTAAAATGAAAACTATATTTACTTTTATTTTAATATTTTTTTGAATTCGGTTATAATTTATTTAGTGCTTCATTTTTAATAGTTTTAATATAATTTTTTTTTTATTTATTAGATATGTTCATTTTTCGAACTGTTTAAATTATAAGAAATTACAATAAACTGTTATTAATATCTTACGCTTTGAAATTACTATGTGATCAAAATAATTAAAATTATAAATTAAAATGTACACAAAATATTATTTAAAATTTACAGTAATTATTCTTCAAGCAAGCCTCATGTATCTTGTATTAAACATATCTTCTATGGTGAATGACTGCAGTCCTTCAGAAACAATTGCTATTTTGTTTTGTGCAACTCATAAGTCTTTAACTTTAGGTATGAACTTTTAAATGTGTGTGTGTGTGTGTGTGTGTATATATATATATATGTACAGTACACACTGCTATCCTATTTTGAGTTTAATATAAAGTAAGAATTAATTAGAATATAAAATTTAGTAATGAATAATAAAATTATTGTAGGAATTCCTATATTAAAAGTTCTCTATAATGAAGATCCACAATTGGCAGAAATAAGTTTCCCTCTGCTGGTATATCATCCTACGCAGATACTTTTTGGAAGCTTGTTGATTCCAAGACTTAGAAAATGGATTAAACTTGAATGGTATTCCGAAAGACCTATTAAAGTTTAAAAATGATTTTTCTCAAAATATATTTTATATCATTTTTTTCTATAGGTATAAAATGCAAGATGTTTAAAAATTGAAAAAATTTACAGATATAATTTGACATATTCATCTCAAATAACTCATCAGAAAAATCAATTGTGATAAAATACTTCTTATATAAGCAAATTTTTTAAAAAGAAAAAAGAAATTATTTTTTAAAAAATATATATATATATAATTTCCGAATTAATGACTTAAAAATAAAATATTATAAGATATATTTGAAGGGAACATTTTTTGATAATCTTATCAAATTTCAAATGATTTTTACATGAAAATTAGATGGAGAAAATGCAATTTCGATATGTGCCAAAATGATAAAGATGTATCATTTTAACTTAAATTACTGTTGAAAGCCAATTCAATCCAAAAATTTATTGGATTCTGGTTTTTAAGTCTAAGAAAGATTTGGATTGATAGACAAAAAAATCAGAATCCAATAAATTTGTGAAAATTATTTAGATTTTAAATTTTTTATTGATTCAGTATATTGATTGATACATGTAAATTATTCTGAGTAGATGAATGCTTGTTCTGAAGTCAGGAATAAGATTTGCAGATATTATTAATAAATTAATAATTTAGATCAAAGTTAGAATATACCATATTTTTATTAAAAAATAGATAATAGTTTTTAATAATGAATTAGTGTTCATATTTTTGTTATTTATATCAAAGTTTTGATAGATATGTTTCATTTCAACAGTGAAGCAAACTGCTTTGTTTTTGTTATTTCATCTATAATTATCCACAAAAGTTTGCTAATGACATAGGTTAGTGATAGTTTTACATATACATTTAGTTAGATTAAATTATTTCTTATCTAAGTAACTTTTGTGTATTTTTTTATATTGAATATTTTGACCAAATAATATTTGTTTCTTGGAAAAAAATTGATAATCTAGTCTGTGATATCATCCCATCAAAAATGATTATTATTATTTACTTACATTTACAGTTTTTAAATAAAACTACTTTCGGTCCATTTATATTTGTCAAAAAAAATTTTATTGAAAAACTGGAATAACTTACACAAAGCACAAGTTAATAATACAACCTAAATTATTTATAAAACATTCCAATATCATCGATTCCAATAAAAGTTGAATTTTGCTTGATGATACTGTGTTTAATCTGATTTAATTTTTGTTGAACTTTAATTTAGATTTGCTTTCATCTGTCCTTACTTCAGTTATCACATCATTAAGAATATCTTATTAAAAGCATCATATTATTAAAAATATTGCTATCTTTAGGCACATTGTGTCTCTGTTTGGATTAAAATATACTATGTAGTTTTTTCAATGATTGACAGCAAATGAGATCATTGGATTAACTTTTGAGGTAATTTGAAAACTTGTTGCTTGAAAGTATCATTTGATTATTACAGTAGAGTCCCACAAACTCAACTTAAAGTGGACTGAGAAGGTGATGAGTTACTGAAAATGACAAGTTTTATGGCATAGCGATGAGTTTAGTCTAAATAGTGGAATTTTCATAAAGGTATTATATGTGCAAAATCACATATGTATTAACTATGATCAAATAGTGACTATTTCTATTTGTAGTTAAATTTTAATTAAAAAAAAAAATTATTGGCTATTCAGTGGCTTCTTTTGTGTTAGTGACATTTGTATCATAGCATTTTGCAGTGGCACCTTGGATAAAGGGTTATATTCTTTGTTAACATGTGGAATTGATGCTATTATCAAGTGTTGCTGGTGAAGAACAATAACTTATTTGATTCTAGTGTTAAGTTATAGAAGTAAAAATTAGATTGCATTTTTTTCTCTGAATGGTGCATTGAATTTTACAGAATGTCATATTATAAAGAGTCGGGTTTCCAAGACTCTACTGTATAATAATTCAGGATTAGTTGTCTATATTTAAATATTGAGAATACAATGAAACGTAAATGAAATTTTGCTTTAATATTCAAGATTTGATTATTTCATCTTTTATCTGTTTTAATGTAAATTTATGCATTCCAATATTGTGAGAATTGTTTGTCTTTTATAATCCCTTTTTTTTTTGTTGTTTGTTTTTTTCTGATAGTTTCTATAATTTCTTCTATAAAATCTCTTTTATTTATGGTGATATTTTCATATTTTTTTTTGTTCTAAAACAAAGACTGTTATAGTTAATTAACACTGGTTTTTAATTTGAATAAGAAAACTATTGTGCTTTGACATATACAATATTAATATAATTGTAATTATTGTGTATCAACATTGGACCTATTTTAAAAATATTATTTACATGCTAGCTTTAAAACATTTGTACAGACAGGTATTTAATATTATATGTAATACTTTAATAGCACCTTATTATAAATATGATATTGAAAACATTATATAAAACACTTTAAAAATTGAAATCATTAGCTATAAAATGATGCACCATACATATAGATATATAATTATTTCTCAGTTTTGAACTATTGAGAATTTCTTGTATATATATAAATTTTATTCTTATAAAATACATCTGGATATTCTTTTTATAAGTACAGGTATTGCAATTAAAAAAAAAAATTGATTTTATTTTAATTATTGTTTTAAAAATAATAATATTTATTAATTCGTATTAGGCCTTTAGCCTGTTACATAAGGGTGTTCTAGTAACATAACATCAAAAAACTACAGTTTATCAACACAATAGGACTGGTAGATATACAACTCACTGATAAAGAAACATGTCCTCAATATGTGTAACTAAATTAGACAAAATTAGATTAAAACGATTATATACGAAACTTTTTTGCAAAATTATATAGATTATATATAGTAGTAGTATTAGCAGAATGGAAAAATTGATATATCTTATTTTCATTCAATAAATTCTTTAGTTGGCTAAGACCCCCTTTAGATCTTAAATCTTGACCCTCCTTCACTTACAATACAAATGGAATTTGGTCAATATTTCATAACTTCTTAGACAACTACTTTAAGAAAATTCGTAGATTTTATTATTGACCATAATCAGTTCCTTATTTAGTCTGAGTTGGATGAAGAATTTTTTAATTACAAAAGGTATATTTGTTAACATTTAACTATTTATAAGAGGGTATTCCAGTAATAAACTATACCATTGAGGTTTGTTCCGGTTATACATTTCTTCAATATCTTGTGACAATGAAACTTTGAGTGAATTTTGAATTAAATGAGATTTTAGTAATTCACTAAATTCAGATTTTTCTAGGAGAGGACCTAAAGAGACTCCATAGATATTAACAATACTTTTAATTTGATCCATTCGTGATCTTCTCTGTGAAACCTGGCAGGATTTTTTATATAACAAAAACAGAAGTTTAGAAGACATTTCCGCTATCTCTAATAATAAATAGGAAATTAATAAATGTTTTTATAATCTTTTTTAAATAGTTTAAACCTATTTAGTTATGTTTTGTTACTGTTTTTAAAATTTCATATAAAAATACTATTTATATAGTACTTTGTACAATGATTTCTGGAAGTATAGTAATTTTATAATAATAGATACTAAGAAATGATTTATTGATAAAACATTTCATTGTATTTCATCTCATGCAGGGATTTACATGACAAAGTTTTCCTCTGCAAAATTTTATTTTTCTATTATCATTTATATTTTCAACTGTTGTATAAAATTTAAACTTTATATTTCATAGATATATCATCAGTAGACATTGATGGAAAATTTCTTTAAAAATAAAATTTTTATATAAAATAAAAATACTGTATTTGGAAACATATTTATAAGATATTTCATACAGTCATTATGATGGCAACAAACATCATACAATATGAATAATTTTATATGTATGTTGTACAGTACATATATTTGTGATAATTATATAAAATAACTTAAAAATATTTGTTATAAAAAATTTATTTCTTAAAAAAACAACAGTTTGTGACTTTTAAAAGAAACTGTTTACCAAATACTTCAAAAATAATAATGGAAACCAATAATAATAAACAAAGTGAAATTTTCATAAACTACAGGTAACCCCCGTATAACACGGTACTTTTATAGCACGGATTCACTCTGACACGGTTCGAGAATTAGGTAAAACACTCGTACAACATAAAATGTAATAAATTTTTACATACTTAAGTAATAATAGTTCACGAAAATAATAATTTTCGTGAACTATTAGTACTGTACTTAAGTATGTAAATTTTCTCTTCTCGCCTTCTATCGATATACGTGGTCCTTCTCGAAACTTATTTCAATGTTGCCAGATCGCGACGCTTCTGCTTCTGATGTTGCTAAATGTTTTTCCCTTATTCCATACTTGCTTTATTCTTCATAAGTGCTTAGCACCATATAAGGAAATTTATAAAGACCTTTTAACTAGAAGCAAGCAATCTAAAATTACATACATTTTGCAAAAGGTAAAGCATGGATCTGAAGATAATGCAGAAAAATGCTCAGAGGATAAGGATAACTTGCCAAAAAGAAAACGCTCTCGGTTAATTAATAGTGTTTTTAGTGATGACGAAGAAAACATTGTTTAATTTATATTAATATGTATCACTTTAAAAAATTTTTATGATGATATTTATCTTAATTATGAAAATATAATAGCATGTTTTTTTAATTTTTGGAACCTAACCCTCCTTTTCGTATTAGTTCTTTTTTTCGTATAACACGGCAATTTTTTGGAACGTAACTACCGTGTTATACGGGGGTTACCTGTATATATAACATTAAATTTGTTTTTAATGTCTACATACAATTTTCGTTTGATATTCTAAATCATATTTATATAAAACTTTATTGCATATAAAATAGCAATAAAATGAAGTAACATACAAAGGCAATTTAATCTTAAAAATATAATATTTGGAACTAATAGTTCTGTTCAAATACAAGATCTTACAGGAAACTTTTCATAGTATTAGCAATAAATAATATGTTTTATATTTTAACAACTTTAAAATTAGTGCATAAAAAGATTAAGATTTCGATAGTAAATGGCAAACATATTAATAATAATATGCATTTGTAGTTGCATCTATGATCTTCAAGTGTAGTGGTTTTGTATGTGAAAGTTCTCTCTTATCAGTAAACTTACTATTTACTTGAATGAAAAGCATCAAAGTGTGTTACTTTTGAAAATTGTATTAACTTTCAAATTGTGTTATATTTAATGAAATATTTCTATCTTAATTTTAGTATTTGTAAGTTATTATTTACTTTAGCATAATTTATATTTCTTCTTACTTTATCATATTGAAATTGTGTCTATTGTTTTGTGGATTTTTGAATTACAGACGAAGCTATTTTATGGAAAAATAATTGAAAACCTTCGCTTTCCTAATGATGGAAAATATAATTTTATTTTAAGCGAAATTTTCAAGTAAAACTAAAAGTTCCGTTTGTATTATATTTTAAAAAATTTAGAAAATAAAATTCCTATTTAAGTACAGCCAAATTTCTCTTCTTGGTGCAATTAATTATCAATGACTGAAAATTTGTCGAAAACATAAGATATTAATCAATTATGAAGATCTGAAGAATTTCCTTTTATCCGACATTTTTGAAAAAATGTAAACATCGTTTCAATTTATTTTTAAAAAGGCCTTTATACAAAAGTGCGTAAAGATCGTCATCGGAATTAAATTCCTATGGACAACTCGCAGAGTATCGTTACTTACGATGACATAGATTATTTGTATAATACGACAGAATAAGATGCATGGGAAAACTATATATAGAGTAAGATGGTAAAACATACGTTAAGCGTGGTATTTACAATTAAAATTGATTTTCTTGTGAACAAAGAGACTTGCCGCTAATTGACACGAAATATTGATTGATAAATTATTAGGCTTGAATTTGAAAAAAATTAGACATATAAATTCCCACTGTCATCCTTCCTTAATCTCGAGAACATTATTAGATTGATGAAAGTCGAGACCGGGATCGTGTTCAGTAATGCAGAATGCTAAGTAAGAAATTAGCTTCGTTCACCTAGTCCAGTGTTTCTCAACCTGTAACGAATCGTCATCCCCTTCAACGTAGTATCGCCCCCTTGAATAAAACCGTTACGTAGTATCGCCCCCTTCACTTCAAAATTCCGATGCCGAGAGCTAAGGCTAACGCCAAATTCGTACTACATTGAATAGACTAGTGACTAGTATAATGTTATTTGTTTAATTATTGTACGATATAACGAATAAAATAGTTAATTATTCTTAATATAATGTTTTACTATATCGCCCAGAAAATTGTTTTTCGCCCCCAAAATATAAATTGTTACTAATCGCCCCCTCAACACAGAAAAACGCCCACATGGGGGGGGCGATATCGCCCCCATTGAGAAACACTGACCTAGTCAATTATGAAGTGTTCTGAGTATCCTTGAACGGTGTGCCGAGTTAGTAAGTTAGACTGATCGTGTGTAAAATTGGCGAATGAGATAATTATAATGATTTTATGAACATTATAAAAAATACGAGTATATTTAGTCCAGCAAGAGCACCCATCTTAAATCGCACGACGAAATAAAAACAGTGATGTAAAGAGGAAAAGTATGATGTACAGGGTCAAGACACTACTGATTTGAGATCCAGAGCATATATTTTAAAAATATGATTAAAAATTGCAGCCCGCATTGTGACGATGTCACAATTGTTTTTGCTCATTGGTGGTTAAAATTTAAACTGAGTAGAATATAAAATTTGATCTTGAAAGATTATTTTTCACTAAAGCTTTTGAGTTTTGGAAAATCAAAAATCGATATTTTAGGCTTATTACAATACGCAGAAAAGGATTAAAGTTCATAAAATACTAAACCCATATAGAAACATCCCGAAACCCGATATTTTAGTAAAATGCCAAATGACTGCCGGATTAAATTGGTCTACTTTGCCGCCATTTTAATTAAATTCTAAATAATTTTGTATTAGAGGTAGGCGTTAGGCGCCATCTCCTATTAAATTTAATAAGACGTGGACGCTGAAGTCGACGCCATAAGTAACCGAGGATGGTTATATGTAAAATGCCTGGAAGGGTAGAGTAACTGATTTAAAACAGGAGTTGAGAGTTCAGGTCCCGCTCCAGGCAATTGTTTTCAGATATCATTTGAGTGAGTTTTAAATAAATAATAGCTAAATTTTTACTGCTGAAGTGCACTCATCATATACAATAATTGACACCATACGTAACAATAGAGACTTATGGCAAAGCTTCAGTCACAAGCCACAAGAAATGATTCGAGAAGTAAAGGCCGAGGCATCATCCTGTGGTCATAAAGTTTAAAACGGTAGCAATTATCGATAAACCTAGGAAAATGGACGAAAACTGAATATATCTAGAAATAATTTTATTCGTAGCATATTTCTTTTCAATTCTATTGTTTATAGCTGCTGACTGTTATATTTCAGATGATCGGAATATTATGACGAGGGGTAAATAAAAAAAAAAACACCAGTACTACATAGCGTCGCATCCGGAGAAGAAATTTTCAGGGATATACCGATAGTTTATGAAGAAATCGATGATAAATTTTAATATAAAAATGAGTCACAAATACTTTCCTCTCTATAAATAGTGAATTTTATTTCCTGTTGATATCAATAGAAGTGTCGTTGAGTGCAATGTCTATTCCAGTAATAAAAAATATGGTTTCCCATTAGTAAAAGCTTTTAATTTTAACCTTAAAATAATCTTGACCTTTGACCTATACCTTAAGATCAAGGGTATATATGAATGTAAAATTTCCTACTCTTTTCATTTCTGGGGTCAAAAATATGTGTTCCCATTGAAAAAAACGGACTTTACCTCCAGATGACCTTGAAGGTGAAGGTGAAGCCTTCACCTTCTGGGTCTGACCGTCTGAGGTCACCAATTTATTGCCCGCTCGACACCCTGCAACTTTTGTCTATACCTTTTTTCCAAAATAATGAGATCCAATTAAGATATTTCATTGTCTCAAGATAAAAAATACACCCTGTATAAGAAAACAGTGGCAGAATGTTTCTTGGCATTTGTCTTTAAAATATTATGGATGCACAAACTTGATAAAAATCATAATAAAAATATTGACTTTTAATTGAAAACAATCGACTTCACTCTCACACTGATCGTGATCTTGCTTCGAGCTCTCATCAAGGGGACACATTTTTTATACTCGATTATTTCTATTCCAATAATGGCTAGTACTTTTCTTCCTCTTTCATAATATTTCAAATTACATAATGGATTTCATAGAATTTGTATTTAAAAATAATTGTTTTAAAATTTGAAGAGCATTTTATAGGCAATTAAATACAGAACGTCCTCAATATACGTTACACTTAAATTCC